TATATATGTATATATATATATATATATATATGTGTGTGTATATATATATATATATATATATATATATATATATATATATATATATATAACCACTCAGAAACATGTATTATATATATTGAGATGTAAATAAATTGCAGCTACGTTTACAAAAAACAAATATTTATACTTTGCCAACAAATATTCTATATATCTATCTATGTATCTATCTATCTATTTATCTATCTCATTCTTTTCACACATACAGTTGAATTACTCCCCACACACATCATTAAATTACGTCATCTACATCGAATTCAATTACTCCCCCACACACATAATTCAATTATTTACCCACCATCTCCATAATTACTCCTCTCATACACATAAATAAATTACTCCCCACTGTATATATTTTAATTACTCCCACTCATAATTCAATTACTCCCCTAACACACATAATTCAATTACTCTTCTGCATAATTCAATTACCCCGACACATAATTCAGTTTATCCCGCACACGCATGAATAAATTACTCCTCTAGATAAAACTCCAATTACTCCAACCTCCCAGAATTCTATTTCATCCCACCACATAATTCAAGTACTTTTACAGCACATAATTCAATTCTTCTCTTCAATATGTAATTTTTTACTCCCCCTATATAATTACTAAACCCATATAATTTAGTTAGTACCCCCACAAAATTATTGAATCATTCTTCTACCACCAATTGACACAAAGAGTAGGAAGCAGTGGAGAAACGTGATCAGTCTCATCCTGATGGTTGACGTCACATATAACAAAAATTCATATAAGCCAAGGCATCTTTATTAATCACATAGGTCAAACTTTATTTTAGATTGAAAAGTACAGTTCATGATTATTCTTATAACTCCAGCTCAAACTATGGAGAGGTTGATGCTCGTTTAGATATACTTATTCCTTCCACACACACACACACACACACACACACACACACACATATGTATATATGTGTGTGTGTGTGAAAATATATAGAAAATAGGAAGGAACTGGTTAGGTAAATAATCCAAAGTTCCTTAGTATTTTAGTTATTATTTTTCAAAAATAGTGCTCGATACAAAAGTAGAGCATAAATATAATTATTTATTTAAAATATGATTCAACTCACGACATAAGAGGTCTCATATTTCAAAACAGAATAAAAAATTCAATATAATTATTTGAATTAAATTGAGTTAAAGTAAGTTCTGTTCCATCATCAAGCGAAATTCAACAAAAAAAATTCGCTTCATGATGGAACAGTGCTTTCTTTAACTCAATTAAATTCAAATAATTATATTGAATTTTTGGGATCTTGTTTTGAAACATGAGACCTCTTATGTCGCGAGTTGGAATCATATTTTAAAAAAAACAATTATATATATGGATCGTGCTAGAGGAATTTTCACGTCAGAACTTTTATATTTACACACTTATTACATGTTCATGCATTGCAAACTCTTGCCATATCTGGTCAACTGCTATGCTGTGCATTTAGAGATTTTTGACAAAACCCAAAGAAGGTTCCATAATGTAATCGATCCTGACCTAGCATCACGACTTCAGTCATTTTCCTACCGAGGTGACATGTCTTTTCTATAAATATTTTCATGGTAACTGCTCTGGCGTGCTTTGATCTCAGACTACATGCATTTAAGCATGGTATTAGTTTACCATCTTAGTCACGCCCTTTAACTAGTGAAATGGACAAATACAAGTGTCACTTCTACTTCAGCAGGTTTGTTTCTCTAGATGTATCGCTCCCCACTTCCACTCAATTGCATCCCTGATAGCTACAATCTTCAAAAATTTAAATGCAACATCAATCGTCATCTTATATCCTTGCATTAATCCTCCATAATCTCAGTCTTCTTTTTTTTCACTGCAACACAATGTGTAATAGTAGCATTCCCGTCTAGCTTAGCGTAAAATTATATATATATATATATATATATATATATATATATATATATATATATATATATATGATATATATATATATATGATATATATATGATATATATATATATATATATATATATATGGCCTGACGATTGCATATAGCATGAAACAGACTGTCACCTCTAAGTGCTGACTTCTATGTTCACTTTTATATTTACACACGCTCTAACTCCGATATTAAGCACTTTATCCCATAAATATAGCACACCTTAAGACTATATTTATTCATATATATATATATATATATATATATATATATATATATATATATATATATATATATATAACGTAGCTTACATTTGACTCATACTTATGCGGCCTTTTGCCACTATATATATATATATATATGTTAACGACGATTTTCACCGGAGAGTTTATAAACGCCTGTTTGTTTATCGATATCTATATTATCTATATTTATATAAATATATATTCTATCTATATTATCTATATCTATATAAATATATGTTTTATCTATATAAGCAAACAAAGAAGGCAGCAGACGGTCACTCTCTTAAATCGGGAGTTTATATGCTAACGTAAATTAATTTGATTTATGCTTTTCATCTATCCTCAGAAATACAAAGGTATTTTCTTCATATATATTTTGGTCTTTCTTTCATTCTGTGAATTCTTAGGAATCGTTTCAGAACGACAGAGAAACCAAAGATACCTTCGTTATCTTCACATTTGTTTCAGATACATTCTACAAACACGCATATATATATATATATATATATATATATATATATATATATATATATATATACTCATCTATTTATTCCATAATTCCTATAGTTTATCCGCCTGTTTATCATATTCTAGACCAAAACTACATCCGCGTACTGGGTAAGATGTTAAACTACATCCGGCAGCGGGAACTCTTATCGGAAGGCTTAGAGGAGCATGGCACCACCTCTTAGTTGATGGTGTTCCCAGGTCAACCCTGACCCGGGGTGGTACCACCTGTTAGGGTCCCAGCTATGGACAAATAGTTAACTATTACAAGCAAAAATTCTTGAAAAAAATAATATTACCAGCAATATAATTTTGAAGAAAATATATTATCAGAAACAGATTTTTGACAAAACAAAATATTACCAGCAATAAATTTTTTTTCGGAATTAAATAACCCATTGAGGTTGATATGCAATAAAACAAAATAAACCAAACTAATCTAAACAAAAGAATGAATATTATATTCATACGAATCTGTCCTAAAAATATAGTAGGCATTAAATAGCCCATTGAGGTTGATATGCCGTAAAATCAAACCAATCTAAACCAAAGAATACCTATTCTATTCATACGAATCTATCGTAAAAATGTTGTCAGCATTAAATAACCCAATGAAGTTGATATGCCGTAAAACAAAATAAACCAAACCAATCTAAACCAAATAATACGTATTCTATTCATACGAATCTATCGTAAAAATGTTGTCGGCATTAAATAACCCATTGAGGTTGATATGCCGTAAAACAAAATAAACCAAACCAATCTAAACCAAATAATACGTATTCTATTCATACGAATCTATCGTAAAAATGTTGTCAGCATTAAATAACTCATTTAATTTGATATGCCGTAAAACAAAAACAAAAAAAACAAAAACAATCTAAACCAAAGAATACATATTCTATTCATACGAATCTATCGTAAAAATGTGGTCGGCATTAAATAACCCATTGTGGTTGATATGCCATAAAAACAAAATAAACCAAACCAATCTAAACCAAAGAATACGTATTCTATTCATACGAATCTATCGTAAAAATGTGGTCGGCATTAAATAACCCATTGAGGTTGATATGCCGTAAAACAAAATAAACCAAACCAATCTAAACCAAATAATACGTATTCTATTCATACGAATCTATCGTAAAAATGTTGTCAGCATTAAATAACTCATTTAATTTGATATGCCGTAAAACAAAAACAAAAAAAACAAAAACAATCTAAACCAAAGAATACATATTCTATTCATACGAATCTATCGTAAAAATGTGGTCGGCATTAAATAACCCATTGTGGTTGATATGCCATAAAAACAAAATAAACCAAACCAATCTAAACCAAAGAATACGTATTCTATTCAGACGAATCTATCGTAAAAATGTGGTCGGCATTAAATAACCCATTGAGGTTGATATGCCGTTAAACAAAATAAACCAAACTAAACCAAACCTATAGTTTAAAAAATCTAGACCACGATGGTGAAAAAAATGACTTAAGTTTCTAATAATTAACTGATGACCTGATTGATATATAAATTCATTGTAAATCAACTCTGCTACTGAAACCAAAACTTAGACTTTCTTAAAAAAACCCAAAAACTCATAATCTTGTGAGATTGGGATTACGGGTTTAATTTCTTTATTACATTTTAATAATTTGGTTGATGGTTTATGTCTTGCGGCATATCAACATCTCTATGGGTTATTTAATGCCGACATCTAAAGAATTTGTACGCAATTATATTTTATTTCATTTTTGGAGATAATAATATTTTAGTAACACAAGTCATACAAAATGAACCATAGCTGTAGGGAGCAGAGGTGAATTCATACCTATCCCAAGGCTATGTGCTCGTAAGTGAATATAACGGATCTATTTGGAATTGGAACTTGTCATTCTGATTAACAATATTACAGATTACTACATCTGTATATCGAAGCTTACAGCACCTGATCTTCCCAAAAAGTAAACCATCTAGATACTGAACCGACGGTACGTTGAATTCGGCGATATTACCGGAACCGGTATTACAACGTATTATGGCCGTGAGCCACACATTTTAATGAAACGCTTTATATGAGATTAATTTGTTCCTTTGCGCAAAAAATTACAAAAAGTCTTGACGTTGTGCTTGCTGTGCAATTCACCATTTTGTTTTTTATTTAAACATTGAGATTAATATCTACTGGTCCAGACATAGACAATCTTATCCAAGAAAAGAAAAATCCGCTGTCGAAGTTTTATCATTTTATTAATCTGAGAAATGTTTATAATCAAACTATGAGAATCCATCGCAAAAGCATTGATACACCGGTTCTCGTTTGATCACCGAAGTTAAGCAACGTCGTGTCTGATCAGTACCTTGATGGGTAACTCCTTGGGAACACTAGGTGCTGTAACCTTGGGATTGAAGGGGTAGAATGGATAATATGTTAGGAATTGTTATTCACCGAAGTTAAGCAACGTAGTGTCTGATCAGTACCTTGATGGGTAACTGCTTGGGATGGTGTAATGGATAATATGTCAGGAATTGGCAAACACCGAAGTTAAGTAACGTAGTGTTTGATCAGTACCTTGATGGGTAACTGCTTGGGATGGTGTAATGGATAATATGTCAGGAACTGGTAATCACCGAAGTTAAGCAACGTAGTGTCTGATCAGTACCTTGATGGGTAACTGCTTGGGAACACTAGGCGCTGTAACCTTGGAATTGAAGGTGGTGTAGTGGATAATATGTTAGTAATTGTTAATCACCGAAGTTAAGCAAAATCGTGTCTGATCAGTACCTTGATGGGTAACTGCTTGGGAACACCAGGTGCTGTAACCTTGGAATTGAGGGTGGTGTAATGGAAAAATATATCAGGAATTGTTTATCGTAGAGCCGAGTTTCAATTCCAGTTGTTTCCCTTTATATTGTATCATTAAATCCTGTTTTAAATAACCTGCAAAGGTTTGATAGGCCGTAAGCATAAAAATCAATCAAATAAACATTATAATTACTAGATACATATATATTTTATATAAATGATGTTTTCAATTTTTTCATTTATTTCTGTAGATTTCCCGTTGAATCAAACATTAGCCGTGTGACCATTAAGACATATTAAGACTACATTTCTTCATATATATATATCTATCTATATTTCTCTCTCTCTCTCTCTCTATATATATATATATATATATATATATATATATATATATATATATATATATATATACATAATCGATTCTCCCGTCGAGATTCGACGTATGAGGGTCAAGCAGATGAGTTTCCAGGAAACCGACAGCCCGACACCGGCACATGAGATCTGATTATAGTGGTGAAGGCCTCATGCAGGACCATCCACACTTTTTTGAAGGACGAATACAGAGACCTGGTGCACCGAATGCCACAAGCTCCCATACGACCCTCCGCAGGTTTTGAATTCAGAGTTGTCCTTCTGCTAGACCAGTTGCCATCCAAGGCTATAGAACCCAGTCTGTCCTGCTATTTTAACCATAGCTGGAGGAGAGAAAGAGGATTCATACCTTTCCCCCAGGGTATTAGCACGTGCTAATACACACACACACACACACACACACACACATATATATATATATATATATATATATATATATATATATATATATATATATATATATAATATTCACTTTTTATATTTACACGTGCTCTATCTTTGATATTGAGCACTTTATCCCATAAATATAGCACACCTTAAGACTATATTTCTTCATATATATATATATATGTGCATGTGCATGTGCCTGTGTGTGTGTGTGTGTGTGTGTGTGTGTGTGTGTGTGTGTGTGTGTGTGTGTGTGTGTGTGGATGATCGTTTGCATATTCCAAACAGAGAATACTCGAAAAGCCAAGAATCACATGTCCCGATTGCCGGTTGAGTATGTCTCTCCTTGGTAAGCCTCATTATTCAACTCGATTTTCGATTTGAATGTCCTTTAACAAAATAAATCGAACGAAGAATTTAAACAAAAATATTGCAATAAAATTAATATTTTACCTGTAGATTCGTTGAAATCAATCTTGGAGATCTCATTAATTTCAGGAAATTCCAAGGACAAGTGGTCGATACTCAAGGAATGCAAACAGCAAACATCAATTATGTACATGCATGTGCACACAACAAAAAATACGTACCGCGGGCCAGAGAAAAACTATATATATATATATATATATATATATATATATATATATATATATTACACGTATAACTTGAACCGGATGGCTTTTCTTGTATGCGATATGCATTAGCTTGCGATTTAAGGTGATGTCTGGCAAGACACACTATAATTCAAAAGTCTGCAATCTGCAAAGAGACCAAAATTAAATAACTGGTAAAAATATTTCGAGTAAAATTAGATAACTGCAATGATCTATCTATCTATCTATCTATCTATCTATCTATCTATCTATCTATCGTTAGGTTTGATAAGACGTAATCTATCTATCTATCTATTTATCTATCTATCTATCTAATCGACAAGCCATAAAATCTATCTCTTTACCGCTGTATCTAATCATCTATCTATCGAAAGGGCTGATAAACCGTAAAAATCAAATCTATCTATCTATCTATCTATCTATCTATCTATCTATCTATCTATCTATCGTTAGGTTTGATAAGACGTAATCTATCTATCTATCAATCTATCTATCTATCTATCTATCTATCTATCTATCTATCTATCTATCTACTCGATAAGACGTAAAATCTATCTCTCTATCTCTGTATCTATTCATCTATCTATCGAAAGGGCTGATAAGCCGTAAAGAGCAAATCTATCTATCTATCTATCTATCTATCTATCTATCTATCTGGTCGATAAGCCTATCTATTTTGTAAGCATTTCACCCCAAGCAAGGAGTGAGTCCCACTATCACGCAAGGCGTTACAGTGAGTTAGAATGAGTGTAAAGAGGGGGTGTTTGAGGAAAGGATAAAGAGGAGGACGTGGATCCAGATCAAGGCATCTGTCTGTCTGTCTGTCTGTCTATCTATCTATCTATCTATCTATCTATCTATCACAGTTCGAAGCTGTGATATTTGTGTATTTGAACAAAATTTTATTCTCAAAGGTGTTTCATTAAAAATGTGTGACAATAAATTTCAGTAAGATTTTTATTGTTTTCCTGTGCTAATCTTCGTCGATGTAACATCTCGATTGGGGGGGGCGTCGTAATCTTGTCTCGCCACAATTTTCACTCCATGGTAGTACTTGATAAATTTTACGTTTATATTACACTCCTTAAATCCTGCTCCGAGATACATTTGCTCAAGCAGGCTAGCTAGTATATTGTTTTCATCTGCCCATCATGCCTTCAATCTGTCCTCTGGGTATCAAATTTTCCAAGCCCTTTTTCCTCGTTATGTGCCCTAGAAATTTCAACTGTTATTACCTGATTTTAAGTATAAGAATCATTTTTATTTCCGTTTTCTCTCAAACTTCAGTTTTGTTATTTGCAGTTATTCTCAGTATCTTTCTGTAGAACCACGTTTTTTTTTGCTTCAAGTCGTTGTGAGGAGATTGCCCAACATTTACTGCCATAGAGGGGGGATGATTACATAAAAGTTTATTGCTCTTTTCGCTCTTTTAACGAATTTTTCCTATTTCTTAATACTTTGCTTAGCTTTCGGAAAGCATCTTTCGCTATCTCAATGCGTTTTTGGATTTCATGTCGAATTTTCAGTCGTTTGTTAAAACGCTTCCCTGGTATTGAAATTTTGATACTTTTTTAATTTTTGTATCTCCAATTTGAAATTTGCATGTCGGGCTGTTCCGTTTGCTAACAAACACGCATTCGGTTTTTTTTTTTCTTGCAATAGTCCTTTCTTCTCTTTTTTCTTTTGCTACATCCTGTCGGAATTCTTGTAGATTCCTTTCTGTGCCTTCTATCAAAACTTTGCTATCTGCATATCTCTTAAGCTTATGGCCTCGCATAATGATTCATGTTAGGAGTTCTAATTCTCTCAGAATAGTCTCACTGCATGGGCTGAATAAGTTCGGTAAGAAAACAAATCCTTGTCCTACACATTCTCTCTGTATGCAGGCAGTTTGCTGTGAGCATAGATTCTGGACTATTCTAATAGCCTTCTCAAAGATGTCAACATTACTTAGCAACTCCAGCAGTTCTTTGCAACGTAATTTATCAAAAGCATTTGCATAATCTATGAAACACATGTGCCCGTACATCTGCCTTTCTATTGGTCTTTCTGATGTCAAATATCGCCTTGATTATTCTAGGATCATTAAGGAACCCACACTTTTCTTGGCTTATTTCCAGTCTCATTATGCAGCACGCTCTCTTCATCATAATTAAGATGATAATTTGTTATATGGCTCATAAGGCTGATTTTCCGAAGGACTTCATATTCGTTTGCAGCTGGCTTCTTTGACAGTGTTATCAAAATGGATCATATTAGGTCTTCAACAGTGTCGTGTATTTTTATTTAGTACGTCTTAATGTCATGCCTTAATATTTATAGTTAATTTATTACGTCATCTTACCTCCGAAATATTTATGGATATTTTATTGTTTTCTTAATACCGAAATATTTATGATTAATTTATTACGTCTTCATACTACCGAAATATTTATATTTAATTTATTACGTCTTCTTACTATCGAAATACTTATGGTTAATTTATTACGTCTTCTTACTGCCGAGATATTTATGGTTAATTTATTATGTCTTCTTACTGCCGTAAAATTTATGGTTTATTTATTACGTCTTCTTACGGCCGAAATATTTATGGTTAATTTATTACGTCTTTTTACTGCTGAACTATTTATGGTTAATTTATTACGTCTTCTTACTGCCGAAATATTTATGGTTGATTTATTACGTCTTCTCTCTTCCCGTTACTTTGTCTGTAAGAGTTCCTGTATTTTTCCTTTCTGTGTCTATTATCTGCTCTCTCTCGTCTATTATCTGCTCTCTCTCGTCTGTATATATAATGTTGTTAAGTCTATGTCTCTCCGTCATAAATAAATGATAGAATTTCGAATTCTCTGAAAATTGCTGCTCTGTAAAATTGGAATATATCCGGCGAGAAGAGGCATCTTTTTATTTTCATATATTTATTGAATTCATTTACTATTCATACGCTGTCATTTATCTCCAAATATATATTAGGTTTTATTCTGATATCCTTCCCAAATACATTAAGCTTACCCTAGGAGTTCTAATAATTCTTTGTGATGTACTTTATCAAACACCTTTGCATAATAAAAACACAGGTAAATGTCCTTCTGCATTTTTACTGTTCTTTCTGATATTAGTCTGAGCATAAATATTACTTTCCTTGTTTCATTGTCTATCCCTGTTCTCCTTCGGGATTTGTGCCGTATTTTCTGTCCTATATTATAATACTAGCGGCAT